TTCAGCATAAATTACACTTACCTCCCCTACATATATATAAACACATAATAAAAAATTTAACATTAAGCATCACAAAGAAGATAACTAAATTTGTCTTGGGATTCTCTGTCTCATTTGTTCCATTCTTCTAAACATCAATGACATTATTTTTACCAGGAAATAGACAGAAACGGGAAGATCTCATTATTATTTTGAATCTCATTTCGGATCGGGTCTCTTTATTGGCGGAGGTCCGAACGCAATCATTTCGGATCTCATTATCAGCGCCATCTTGATGTTCGAATTGGTTAGCCAACAATGATGGGGCCCAGAAGAAGGAGACTCGCCTCTCTCTCTCTCTCTATGCTTCTTTTCCCTCCTACTCCGGCTGGTTCAGGCATGTGTGTTTTCAAGGATGACGAAAGAGATTGAAGGAGACAAGTGCCATTTACAGGGAAACACACTATTGGGTCTAGTTGGGGTATGGGTTTTTCTTGATCTTGCAGTTGGAGGTGGTGGTGTTGCAGCATTTTATGACTCTCCCTCTCTTTCTATCTCAGTCTTGTCTGATAGTTTGTGGATTATGGTGTGTGGGCAACATCATAATTCGGTACCATTTGCATTTTTTGTTAAATAAATAAATTTGAAGGACAGCCCTAGGGCTTTGTTTTAGTCGTGTTGGATTTTACAACACACATTTTTTTTTTCAGAATTATATTTATTGAGATTTAAAATAAATTTTAATAAATTTTTGTTAATTTTAAGTATGATTCAATATATATTTTTTTAAATTACTATAAAATAAGTTTTTTACATCTTATTTCAAAAGTAAATGACTTTAAAAATAATTGATTTTAAATATTTACAAATTATTTTTAATCAACACTTGAATTATTTTTGACCAATAAAGAAAAATTATTTTTGAACTACTAATTTTATTTATTTTTTAAAGACATTTTTTAGACAACACATTAATTTTAAAAAAATATTAAATAAAATGATTATAAAAATAAATGCAACCACTGTTTATATATGGGATTTTTATTGATAAATCCAATTTAGAACTCTTTTAACCTAAGAAGTCCATGAAGGAATTTTTTAACCCATTTAGTCCCATGTATGTATAGTTTTATTCCATAAAGTCCATTTTCTTGATTTACACTATTTTCTTAGATACTTATGCCCTTATATTCAATTTTGATACCTTTATAAATATTTTTTGAACAATTAGTAATTTAATGATGTGAACATTCATAGTTTAAAATTCACATTGGTAGGAATGTAAAATTGGCCCGTGGGCGACCCGAAACCCGCCCTCGAGTCGGGGTGGGCCGGCCCGTTGACAATGTGAATATTCACATTGACATATTAACATTCACATTAATATGAGTGTAAAATTGGCCCGCGTCCCGTGGCGGTTTGTAACATTTTGGCTTTCCTCGAAACCAACAATGTTTATCAACATGACTGCTTCGGTTGCAAATTCCACACTTTTGTTGAGTGGACTCTTCATTTTCCTTTCTTTGAAAATTAGACCTTCATCTTCCTCTTGCTCTTGCATTTCTTACTCTTCTGTTTGCATTTCTTCCTCTTCCACTTCCTTCGGAATTAGAAGTACTAACATTGAGCTTGGACTGAAAGGCGCTTTCGATTGACTTTTTAGATTGCCTACTCAACCTTTGCTCAAATGTTTTAATTGAACCCATCATTTCTTCAATACTCAAATCAGCAAGATTTTTAGTTTCTTCAATGACAGCAAACAATAGGATTGTATTTCTCCGACAAACTTATCAAAATTTTCTCAACAACTCTTTGATTAGTAATATTATCCCCATAAATTTTCGTTTGGTCCACAAGTTCTATAACTCTAGAAAAATAATCCTTCAACAATTCCATATCCTTCATCTTTATATTTTCAAAATCTATTTTCAATGATTGAAGTTTGATGGTTCTTACCATCAAGTTGCCTTTATATTCTTTTTGAAGAATATCTCATGCCTCCTTTGCTTTTTAGCATTGATAATTCTTGGAATGATTACTTCTGAAACTCCTTGTTGAATCAAAGATAGAGCCTTTGAATCCTTTTTCTTTTGCTCTTCTAATTGGTTCTTTTGGGAATTTGTCAAAGCTCCTTTATCTTTAGGTTTTTCGAACCCATTCTCAACAAGATCTCAATGATCCATATAGACAAAAATAGTTCTCATTTTCACATACCACAAATCAAAATTTTCACCATTAAAGATAGGAGTAGATATATTTTGGTTGTTGGAATTCGCCATGGATGTCGACTTGTTCTTCTTTGGGGTTTGTTTTTCCGTATCCGATCATTACACCCAGCTTGTTCTTGACCCAACCAAAGCTCTAATACCACTTCTATTAGCTTTTGATAAAACTCTCTCTAGAATGAACTATTATTTTGTATAGAATTTAACTTGTATTGATCTTGAATTTTTTTTCTCTAATTCTTCGTTTTGCTCATAGCCTTACATCCTTCTATATAGAGAAGGTTATACTTCAATGAACAACCTTACAACTAACTAGGCACATGAATATAATTTAGACAACAAACCTAATAAATATAAAATACATGAATATAAAGATACATGAATACAAAGAATACATAAACCCAATATATTCAGGGTAAATTACATTTACCTCCCCTGAGGTTTGCCTTAATTACAAATACCTTCCCTATGGTTTCAAAAATGACACAGACCTTCCTTACTTTTGAAACTAATATACAAAGACCCCCTTCTGTTACCCATCCGTCCAAAATCAAACAGATTTTGTTGATGTCATCCATAATTATTCTACAAATTTCAATACTGCCCTTCAGCATAAATTACACTTACCTCCCCTACATATATATAAACACATAATAAAAAATTTAACATTAAGCATCACAAAGAAGATAACTAAATTTGTCTTGGGATTCTCTTTGTCTCATTTGTTCCATTCTTCTAAACATCAATGACATTATTTTTACCAGGAAATAGATAGAAACGGGAAGATCTCATTATTATTTTGAATCTCATTTCGGATCGGGTCTCTATTGGCGGAGGTCCGAACGCAATCATTTCGGATCTCATTATCAGAGCCATCTTGATGTTCGAATTGGTTAGCCAACAACGGTGGGGCCCAGAAGAAGGAGACTCGTTCTCTCTCTCTCTCTCTCTCTCTCTCTCTCTCTCTCTCTCTTTCTCTCTCTCTCTATGCTTCTTCTCCCTCCTACTCCGGCTGGTTCGGGCATGTGTGTTTTCAAGGATGACGAAAGAGATTGAAGGAGACAAGTGCCATTTACAGGGAAACACACTAGTTGGGGTATGGGTTTTTCTTGATCTTGCAGTTGGAGGTGGTGGTGTTGCAACATTTTATGACTCTCTCTCTCTCTATCTCAGTCTTGTCTGATATAGGGGTGAGTATGGTCCGGATTGGATCGGATTTGAGTAAAATCAGGATCAATCCGTTATTTACGGATCCTGAAAAATTAGAACCAATCTAATCCGTTTAAATCGTGGAACCAATCCGAACCAATCCATTTAAACACGGATTGGATCGGTTTAAGACCACGGATTTACATAATTAAATAACAAAAAAATATAAATAACATTTTAATTTCATAAAAATATAAATATAGCACTATATTAGTTTCACAATAGCAATATGTCTTTTTATAATATCGACAAACTGTTCTAGAATTTAAACAACTATAAGAAAACTAGTTCCACCATAAGTATTTAGACCATTACAAATTAACACTAAAAACTAGCAAACAAAAGTAATAAAAGAAGATACTATGCAAGTTTAGGTTTGGATTTAAATTTTATATGAAATAAGATAAGATACTATGCATGGGAGTGTATAATAAAAATATAGACTATTTGTATACGGTCCGGATCGGTTCCAATCTGGAACCATGGGGTTCAATCCGAAACCAATCCGTGAATTACGGATTTTTAATTTTTCAATCCGGAACCGAACCACGGATTCAAAAACCAATTCAAACCTACTGAATTGGACTGAACTGGATCGGATTACGGATTTCACGGATTCCTTACTCAGCCCTAGTCTGATAGTTTGTGGATTATGGTGTGTGGGCAACATCATAATTTGGGTACAATTTGCATTTTTTATTAAATAAATAAATTTGAAGGACAGCCCTAGGGCTTTGTTTGAGTCGTGTTGGATTTTACAACACACATTTTTTTTTCTAGAATTACATTTATTGAGGTTTAAAATAAATTTTAATAAATTTTTGTTAATTTTAAGTATGATTCAATATATATTTTTTCAAATTACTATAAAATGAGTTTTTTACATCTTATTTCAAAAGTAAATGACTTTAAAAATAATTGATTTTAAATATTTACAAATTATTTTTTATCAATACTTGAATTATTTTTGACCAATAAACAAAAATTATTTTTGAACTACTGATTTTATTTATTTTTTAAAGACATTTTTTAGACAACACATTAATTTTAAAAAAATATTAAATAAAATGATTATAAAAATAAATGCAACCACAACCGCTATCTATATATTTTTTATTTTACATGCCAATGTAATGAAATAAAATTTTAAAAAAAAAATTATAAAGAAAAAAAATTCATATAAGATTTTTCTTTAGGTTTAGATCACTTAAGTATTTGTTCTTTTTTTTTTGTAAGTATTAGTTCTTTTTTTTGTAAGCTTTTATTTTTTATTTTTTGGGAAAAAAACTATTCAGAATATTGTAAAAGGAACTTACCTGTAATTATGCTAAACCACAAGGGAGCTAAGTGTAATTTACCCTAGAAAAGAATGAATCAGAGTCAGTTGTATCAATAGCACAGTGGGCAATTGTGTCTTTTCACATTATAGTTCAAGGGTATTATGGTCAATTTGACTACCAAGTTAACGTTGTTCATTTTCTTTTAACGAGAAAGAAGAATCTGTGTATTATTTTCAAAAGTAGGGGTTAGTGTTATCTTTTAAACTATAAGGGAGGTACCTGTAATTAAGGTAAACCTTAGGGCAGATCAATATAATTTACCCATATATTCAATATATCCAAGGTAAATATGGCATTAATTTTAACGGATACACCTCTCACTCTAAGCTACAAATCCTCCCACGTTGAAAAATACCTAGTAACCAGAAAACTATGAGCCAACTTTTAAAAACCCATAGCAACATAATTGTTGTAACCTCCTAGATGATGGCAATTCATCAAGGCTTGAGATCACTTGGCCAAATCCTTAGATATCAGATAACGGAATGTGAAGTTGTGAGGCATCCAGTCGATTCTCTTCCAGCATTTCCCGCGCTGATGCTGGTGATCACTCCTCTTCCTTAGAGAATCAGACATGAAATGCTCAATCAACTCCATCAAACCAGCTGGACATAAATCTGACTCTTTCGCAAAAGAGTCTACAATCTTTGGTAGAATGATCTTCTGTTCTTTGTGAACCCTGATGGCAGTATGGATGTAATCTTCTTTTGCAGCTTCCAGCTCCTGGAAAACCCACTTGGGTGTGTACATACGAACCTGAAGAAATCAAAATGAAAAGAAATCGGGTAAAAATATGTTTCGAAAACTATTATGTGTCATTTTCATGCTTTTATGGCGTTTGTGTCGGTTCATAGTGCAACTTGGTTAAACGTATAGCCGGTACTGCAATTACTATATCAGTGAATTGAAAAATCAGGGAAATAACCATACCACTGGATCAGAATGGCTTCCTGAAGAAAGTGCAAAATATACACGAGGTTCTGGATGCTCGATTGCATATACCTTCCGTGCATCTCGAACCTTAAATTTTGTCTTTGGGAAAAACAGTGATTGCAGCCACTACAACACAAGTAAGCTCCATTAGTTCCATAGAAAATGAAATATTTTACTATCAAACATGTAAATAAATATCATTCCATGGAGAGAAAATGTTTTTGTTTTGTACCCAAATGACCATAAAAATTATGATATTTATTTTAAAAAAAATTGCAGGGAAGAGAATATACTTGTCCTGGACGAGGCAGTCGACATCCTAAGATTGAATTTTGTATCATGTTTACGCTTATGGTATGACCACCCACATTATATGCAGCCTGAATATTGTAGACACTTTGAAGTTAGGAAAATACTTTTAGAAAACATTTTTCTTCTCCAAATAGAATCAAAGAGTTCCCACCTTGAGAAGTAATGATATTCTTTTGAGATTATTATGCGGAATTCCATAAACCAAAAATGCCTGAAAAATCAAACAACTAAGTCTAACATTAAAGATTTCAAAATATATCACAAGATTGTGTTTTAGAATTATTACGTGCATTGCTAGAGCGTTGTGTATGTTAATCCAGAATGCTAGCTTCTCCTCGTGTTTCATCTTTTTAGGATCAACCTTTTCCAACCGAGAAACTAGTGACCTGCAATGAAACAATTTTACCTTCTTCATTCTCTGTTGTTACTAGCATAAATGTAACTATTATGACATTGGAATCTATGATGTTTGAAGCAAGGTACCACTTCGTAATGTCTAAAGTTCAAGTCCTAAAAGCATGAAGTGCAACTACTTAAAGCATCATTCGCCGTCTAAAAAAGCCTAATACACACATTTATAGAAAGTACAACTATATACTTGATAGCCAAGAAGAATGAAAAAAAGAAGAGTAAAAATTCCCATGTTTTATCTATCTTTTATTCAATTTTCTCAGGATGAAATAGTAGAAAGCAAAAAATTTAAAGATTTTAGACTCACCTAAAATTTTGTAGCATATGCTTCACGCGTCGTAACCTCTGGCTATCTCTACAAATCCATTGCACCTCAATCATAGTACTGTAAGATCCACTGAATTCCTTTGAACCTTCAACACTAAAAGGATTGTCCGTCCACAAATGGAAAGATGAATTTTTTCTGGCGTCAGGGTTGCATGTGTCATATTGACATTGCGGAGAAGAGTCACCGATGGATGAGGAGAGTGAAATTGGAGAGGAAGGGAAACTGTGATTGATCAAAGGGGGATCTGCAAGTTCACTGTATATAGCTGAGATGCACTTGATCATCTCCTCAGAGATCCAGTTTGGTGTTTCTTGGATGTGGTCAAAAATACTGGCACCAAGATGTTCAGCCAGACTAGCCACATTTGAAGCAGAAACCTGGGCATGCTGGTGAGAGACAACATTGGAATTCAAATTTTAGTTAGGTGTGAATTGTTGTTGAGAGAAGTTTGTTTAGATTATGAACATTTAGGACAACAGTAAATAATGGTTGTAGTGTTTTGAATTGAAACAGAAGTAATGGGGCATCAGTTGGACAAGGAGTTTGGATACAAATCATTGTTCATTTTGTACCAACTATCAAATGACTTACGAATACTGTCAAAATATATTAGAAATTAAGAAAAACATTAACCAAGATCAGTTTCCAGTTTTCTGTTTACAAAAAACAAGAAACAAGTTTTACTTTTTATAAAAAAAAATAAAACAACACAAAAAACTTGTTTGATGTATACATTGTGTTGAATCAAATGACAAAAAATAAATAAATAAATAAATATTTGGTGAATTGTTGGAGGTGGTGGCCAACGGTGAAGGGCAGACAGATGTGGTGGAGGTGGCCAGAGGTGGCTGCTGGAGTTGGTGATCTGAATGTCGCCTGAGATCATGGGTGGTGACTGTCCTGTCACCAGATTCTGCCAGAGGGTCACCGGTGGTCGGCAGTCTGTCAGTGGTGATGGTGGCCAGCAGTGGCAATGGTGGAAAATCATTTGAAAATGAGTGAAAACACTTTTTTTTCCCAAAAAATTAGAAAACTTCGAAATTAATTGTACGTCTTTTTTTAAAACAAAAATAATATACCAAACAGGTTTTCATTACCAATTTCTAAAAAAATAAGATCGAAAATAGAAAACAAAAGCTCTGATAAAAGCCCAAGTATGGTTTTGATGAAATTTCCCTTTACAAACTGAAAGTGCATCCAAAGCTTAAGAATTCAAAATTCACTTTTTGTGTACAACATTTAATTGAGAATTCAACATTGATTAGATTAAGGGCAAGCCCAAAACAACATTTTGAGCTGAAAAAAGACCAAATTGCCAGAAGCTTAAGACAAAGGACCAGTCTCCTAAAAGAGAGTTTGATATGTTCTCCAAAGTAACTACACAATTCAAAGTCCAACAAACCGCCCTTTAAAAAGTAGTTTTGCTGGTAACACAACACAGAATATACATGAATAGACAAGAACTTTTTGCTAACGGAATCCACTTTCAAAGAATGTTATCCATCCATATACATTCTGTGTTCGATTTTGTGTTTGATTTCTGTGTAAGCAGACTTAATTCTTTAAATAGTTGCTTCAGATTAACTTACCTGCAGCATTGACAAAGGTAATGAATGGTATGACTGCACTGCCTCAGCAAGAGTTCCCATTGGAGGAGAAGTTCTAAAAGAATGTGCTGAGCGCTGAGACAGCGACGAGTGGCTACGATGAATACCAGAATCTACTATTGTGTTTGCTCCCGAAACTTCTGATAGCATCCAATCATGCGCGGCTGATTTTGATTTTGATTTTTCGTCCACTGTGGATAAAAATGAGACTCGTTCATCAAATGTCCTGCGATACAGCGAAAGAAGATACTTCTCCAAATAGACAACTTCCAACTCCAAAACAGCGATCTCCTTGATCAGATCCTCAGCAGGCTGAATGGAATTAAAAATAAAATGCTATAATTTATAATGCATGAAAATTGTATATGCATTGGCATACGGAGGAAAAAAAGAAGAGGAACCTTGGTGACTGAATTTTCATTTGTAGGATCATAGGAAAGAGGCCTATTAGTCAATGCCTTTGTTAGCGCAGACCGAACCACAAATTGGTCCTCGAGTTGTTTCTGAAGATGTAGAATCTGTGAAGTGAAATCAAAACATAGAACAACTCAAAATATATAACAGGAGCACATTCACATTTTTGTGATTTTTTTTTTTTCTTCTCGGTAGTATGGAAACGTTGGCTTTGGTTGGTATCATTGATGAAATTTCGTTTTTGTTTTTCGTGGTTTGAGAAATGAGAGAAAGAAAATTTTGGAAACAGTAATTGTTTTCATTTTTGTGCAAAAATAGTTTTAAAAAAAATTAAAAAACAATTACGAAAGTGTCTTCTGAACAGGGTATTTTTAGAACTTTTTTTGGAAAATAGTTTTTGAAAACAATTTGCCAAAAACTTTCCATATTAGTGGTGGTGGTGTGGTTACATTGGGATGACTATAGTCTGAAAAATGTTTTTCATATTTCAAAGTGAAAAATGTTTTCGTTCAATTAAGTTCATTTGCTATTGATTTTAGTTTTTCATTATACCAAATATTAAACATTTTCTGCTGAAACAAACAGACCAAATTGAATTGATGATATTGATACCTCTTGCTTTAAAGAATTCTGAACCCCAGTGCCAGGGGACTGCCTCATCTTGCCTTTAACACAGCCCTCCAGTTCTTCCATATCCTGTTATGAAACATAACATAACATAACATAACAAAACAAAACAAAACAAAACAAAAATATCATACATTTTGAAATATGCTTTTAAATAAGCAGAAAATTAATTTAGGAAGAAAGATTACTGGAGTTCCATTTTAAAAATTATTATATAATACCGGACCATAAATAAATTAAGAAATATGGTAATTTTTATACATAGGACTGAAAGAATCAGGTTGGAAAAAATTGCAAATGAAAATGAAAAAAAAAGCTGCTTATCATTGTTGAGAAAAATCTAGAAAGCAAGAAATAAAATTTAAAAAAAAAAAAAAGGAAAGGAAAAAAAAATAAATAAAAAATCTTACCAACTTGGGATGATAAGAAGTCGCGAGAATTCTACTGAATTTATCTTCTTGAATTTTTTTCATCGCAGAATCGCTGTCAGAAATTGACAAAAATAAAACTAGTGTCAGTTTAAAACTGGCAGAAAACATAATGGAAACTTTAATTCTGTTTATTTGGTTATTTAACTTATTTACTTATGAAATCCTTTTGACCTTTAAAAAATGGGGAATGCACAAATAAATTCCAAATTAATAATTCATACACTGTTTAGTTCTAAAAGTTTTCTTATAGACTGAAAGGTCCCATTATAATGTTTCAAACATCAAATTAATGTTTCGAACATTAGATTTTGAACATCAGATTAATGTTTCGAACATTAGATTGATGTGCAAATGAGACTAAATGGAGCATAAGAAAACTTTTAGGACTAAATGGTTCAACTTTTCAGAAACTAGGACTTATGGGTAAATTTTTCTTAAAAAATTAAAAAACAATGACAAATTGTAAAGAAGTTCACTAAAAAAGTCAAAAAAAAAAAAAAACTTTTGGATTTTTTTTTTGTTCATTTTTAAATTTTTAGGATGGGTTTAGAGGTTTTAAAAGTGATTTTTTTTTTCTTTAAAAAAATCAAATTTTCTATGAGACAAAAATATGAACAAAAAATAACTGTTAGAAAAACAATTGTCAAATCTCGTCTAATCTATTTCATTATGATCCAAATGGAGGGAAACAAATGATAAAAGTGGGTAAAAAGACAACTTTGATTTAATACATGCCCCAAAAGCCACCAATTCTAATTGTAGTTCTAGTAGTGACAGTCTAAAAGCAGAACTGCTTTAAAGAACTTTTCCCGCCTTTTATAACCCTCCCTCCAATTATAATTTAAGAGTACCAAACACGGCATCCATCACAATAATGGACATAGAAGAAGACATACAAACATCCATACAACCACACGAGTAACTGACTCTCGCTAAAGTGATATTTAGAAAGGTTAAAATGTATGTAGCATTAACCGAGCCACTAAAGTGGCATTTGAAAAAATTAAAATGTATGTAATCTTATTCTCATTTGCGAACAAACTATTTTGGTGAATCAAATCAATATATATACAACGAAATAATGGCCCTGTTTGGTAGAACTGTGGGAAAGTGCTTATAGTTTATACCTTAACAACTTATAGCTTATGATTATGAATATAAGCTGATTTCTAACTTATAAATTAAGCTTCTCCTGCCACACTTAAAGAATAAGTTGATTTCTGACTTACAAAAAGTTATAAGCTGTATTGTTAAGCTAAATCAAACACATCAAAATAGCTTAAATTAAGCTGAAAGCTGAAAGCTGAAATAAGCTGAAATTAAACTGTATTTGCAGTATGTTTTTTTTTTTTTTTCAAAATAACTTAGTGCACACACTCCAACTAAAGTGATATTTGGAAAATATTCTTAAAAAATGTACATTTTTAAATAAGTTTCTTTCATAACTCAAAATGTGCATACAAAGGAGTAATTGCAGTACGTTGTTTTCAACTAATCAAGTGCACATGCAGTCTTACTCATTAGTTCTGAAGAAGTTGTTTTCATGACTCGATACACAATTGTAATATGCTTTTTTTAACTAATCCAAAGTGCACACACTCTTGTTAAAGCTGTATTTGAGGAGGTCAAGATGTATAAAATCCTACCTTCATTTCTATTTTCGTGACTGAAACTTGCGCCAGCAGGACAACAATGGCAAACCTTGCCTTTTTCTTTTCTTTTCTTTTCTTTTTAGACAGGAAACAAATTGAAAATGCAAAGAAAAAAGAAGAGAGAATTGACCTCTTAGAACGCTTATGGCCTTGAGTTTTTGGATCTTCTTCCATGAAGTTTCAACAGCTTCAAATATGAACACTTTCAAGCACACTTTTTAAAGAATTTGGCTGAGAGAGACAAAAGCATTAAATGGAGGCAAGTATTTCCAACAGAAATTGACAAGTACCCAGAGAGGAACAGGATCAGAATTTAAGAAAGATCCAAGAAACATTAAATATGGCTGCAGAAAGCAACTCTGCTTCAATAAACAGAAAGAAAAACACATTCAAGAGAGAGAGAAGAGAGAGACTACTCACCCACAAGTGTTCTTGGAAAACTTAACCTCTTGTTCTGATTCAATCACCAAAATGGATTTATCTGATATACCAACTCAAACCTATAAAAAAGTCCATGTGTTATAGCATCCTGTTGGCCCTGTTTGGTACATTTATTAAAGATGTTTATATCATTTTTTTTTTATTAAATTTATATCAAATTATTTAATGTAGCTTACGCTCATAGTTTATAAGGTATAAATAACTCTAATAAATTGAACAAAAAAGTTAATTATCTAGATGAGGAAGGAGTATATTTAGCTTCTATTTTTTTTATTATTAATTTTTAATTAGTAAGATCTATATAAGTTGTCATTTGACAAAAACTTTTTTAGTTGATTTTTTTAATTTGAGACTAAAATGTTCGTTTGACAATTTTTTTTTTAATTTTTTTTGATTTTTGTAAGAGAAAAAGTTAAATGATTATAGTTTCGATATAATATATTGTCTTATTAACTTATTTAACTTATTTTATTTTTTATATTTTTTTAGTTTCAACTTGATATAACCAAACGAAACCTAAACAGGTCATTGGCAGAAATAATGCAAAAATGGTTGCGTACAAGTTATAGTGGAAAAAATATTGAGCGAAATGGTGACAGACAGCATCCTGTGTTGTGTCACTTAATAAAAGGTCATAAATACATTAGATTGATAATTATTATCTCACACCAACAATGTTGTGATTCCTGTTATAAATTAAAAATATTTATTAAATAATGATATATTAACTCTTGATATTATTATTATATTTAATATTTATTTGCAATAATGCGAGCTAAAGAAGTGAGTAGGTTTGTTTTGACCAGTCACTTGTCTTAGAAAGCAATACCACCTTTGTTGCTTTTGTTGCAATGGGGATCTTTTTTGTGGCATTAAAAGAAGTAAATAAGGTGGGGTGACTTTCAATTCAAGAAAAGTCCATGTTATAATGCTTTAATAGTGTTTTTTTTTTTTTTTCATGCTCTTTGCCCAATCAAAGTGTATGGGGTAATTGAGGATTGGATTGGGTCGGATGTTATTGTATTCGTTATTTATTTAAAATTAGATAGATTGAAAAAAATTAATTCATATTTATCTATTGATTTGACTGATGTAAATTGAGTTAACTGTGCAAATTGGCATATGATGTGATCGGTTTGGCAGTTTGAACTTTATAAATTTTGAATATTTTTTTTAAATTATAATTCATAACTTTATAATCTCTAGTAACTAGTAATCTGAAAAAATATATGTATTATTTGTCTATAATAGGTCATAGCACCACACATATATATTTTTAAGGTATTATTTTTTATTTTTATAAAAATATATATTTTATTATTTCTACTCTATATCGTTACTTGTTAGTATTTTTTTTTTTGGGGCTTTTTTTTTAAGGTCCCTAATATTATGATTTTATAGTATAAAGGACGCCAAATATTTTCATAATGTCTAAGGTCCCTCAACCTTGATCCAGAGAAATTTCAATCCAGAGAAATTTCAGTCCAGAGAAAATTCGTCCAGAGAAATTCTGGCCCAGAGAAATTTCTCTGGCCAGAATTTCTCTGGCCCAATTCTTCCTACAATTTCTCAGCATTTCTCTAATGCATTGGCTGAGTCCAGAGAAATTTTGAATTTCTCTGGTCTAATTCTCTTCAAATTTCTCTGATTTGCAAATTTCTTTAGTTTTCTCCAAACCAGAGAAAAACAATGCACACACAAACACATTAAATAGAGAAAGAGAGAGAGGGTCAATCCAATCCTCAAACAATAGAGGATCAATCCAATCCTCAAACATCACATTAATGTTGCTTCTGTTAGATCCCCGAACGTAAATCAACCCAAATTTCAGGGTAAATCTGGATTTGTATTCTTATTTCTTGTGAAAACTAGAGAATTTCTCTGACATTCCCAGAATTTCTCTGGAGAGAAATTCTCTAGGAAGTCCAGAGAAATTCTGTAGATGGAATTTTCTTTGGAGAGAAATCCTCATCATGAGCAACTTCATCTTTTTCCTCTTGCCTAAAACAAAGCAAGTTCCAATTGAAGAGATACATTTTTTGTTTCAAAACCATTGGTTCTGGAAGACATATGTTGGAACTGATACTGATGAGAATCCCAGGCATGTGTGAATTCCCAAAAATGTTGTAGAAAATCGATGATTCATCAACAATTGTGTTACGAAATAACTTGTGGTTCGGTCAATATTTAGAAAAATACAGTGTTTCGTTTGACCAAAATTTAAGTTTTGGAAAAATGTGAATTCTCCTCAAGTGATTTTCCAAATAACTTGGGGAATTGTGAAAATTGTAGAAATTGTTTGCAATATGGGATGTTCTTGCTGATTACGGACCTGATTGTCATCATGAACAACTTTATCTTCATCCTTCTACATGTTTTCTTCACCACTACCCCAAACCATTTCTCTCTCTCTCTCTCTTTATATATATATATATATATATTTACAACCTCATTGGAGCTCTGTTGAATCGTCTAATCTGCAGAGAGGCTGACTTTTATTTGGTGTGTGAAATGGAATCTGATTTGATTAATCTTCATCTATCAGCTTCATTGTGCCACAATTCCGATCAGAGACGATGCTTCTCCCCCTCTTCTTAGGGGCTTTCTGCTGCTGCTGTGACTGCGGCTCTAGGATTGGAGTAACAAAAGGACAATCCGAATCAGAATGAGAATGCTCTGATCATACTCCCACCACGCACCTCCTTCGACTCCATCTTCGCCGGTGTTAAACCCTAGCTTCCATTGATGAGTAACAGAATAGATAGAATACGATGAAGAGGAGAGAAAAAGAGCACGAGATCGTAGAGCCGCCCAATCAGATCACACCCACAATATATATATAGATCATAGAGCTCAATCGGCTGGAGAATGGAGAAGTTTAGAGAGAGAGAGAGACATGAGTTTTGATTTGATAAGGTTAAATTTCTCTGTGATATGTTCAGGGATCTTAGACATCAAAAAATAATTTTGTGGATCTCTTCCATTATGAAAAGTGGAAGAGGGACCCTTCACTAATTTTCCCTCTTTTTTTTTAACATCGTCTACGAGCGGATCGAGTTCATGCCGGTACGAAAAGATTGATCCGCCATCCGAATCGTATCTGTAAATTTTAAAATATTTCATCCACATTTATCTATTAAAAGACACTTATCCGTCCAAAATTAATCAAATTAAATCGATTCGATTTGATTGCACGGATCTGTGATCATCCCTTATGTATAAATAGTGGCTTCTAGGACCATGGTTTGGCTGCAATTGCAAATTAATTCTCTCTCTCTCCCTCTCTCTTTCCTTGTGGGAAATAAGAGTTCAAATCCCATTTTATTATGATTGTACAAAAACAACCTCTTCGTACGCAGCAGTATATATCCCGCAATGGATATTACGCAACTCTTATTACGGATGAGCAGTAGATATTTTGATTCATTTAAATTTATCGAATTAAATTAATCTGTCGTATTTTAGACGGATGTAAAATGACGAGCAGATGGTTGTGGATTGATTTTTTTTTCAATTTACCTAATTTTAGACAGATGACAGATTTGAGGTTCTTTTAGCTGTAACCGAACTACCAAATCACGAACACCCCTAGTAATTTGTAAGACTTTGTATTTTTAATTTGTTTAGATATTTTATATATGTTTTCAATTGAAAAAGAGTTTAGATATTCTGTTGTATTTTCAATTTATTTTCAATTTGGAAATCCTTTTATCAAATAGTAATGGTTGATATTTGGTATTTTTGTGTGAAAAGTATAAGGTTTAATTTTGTCATTTTTTTAAAAAAAATAAATTAAATAATTTTTGAATAAAAAAAAGTAATGAAATAATTTTGAAAATGCATGGTTTTCTTATATGTATTTATTATTGGCATTTGACAATTTACTTGATAATCTTTTGGTTATGTTGAGTTAGATTGTTATCCAAAACAAAATATTGGCGAGTTATTGTATTATGTTCAAAATTTGTAAAAGTTTAAACTGCCAAACCGATTCGCATCCATCCGCCAATCCGCTCAATTCGCATTCGTCAATTCGGCGGTCAGATGAGGATTGATTTTTTTCAATCTGTCCATCCAGGGGACGGATGGTGAATTAAAGGTTTCACGGCCGCAACGGAACCGCGAACACACCTAACTCTTATTATCAGAGTAGTATGGATTCAATTTTTTTTCTAGGGATAATTACAAAAAAAAAAAAAAAAAAAGGTTTGAGTCTCTTAACAAAATAAATTTTATACTTTTAATTTTGTCAACTTAAACGCTGATATTTTGTTTTGATTTCAATCTAAATCATTCATCCATTTTTGTTAAGTAAAATCGACCCCAAAAAAAAAATATTGTAGTTAAATAGGCAAATAGTTTAAATTAAAAATAAGAGAAAATATCAATTTACCTCCCAAACTTTTTCGCATTTTTTAATTTGATCCACATACTTCAATTAATATTAATTTTACACATAAACTTTCAAAAAATTGATCAATTTAACCCCTTTCGTCACATTTTATCTACAATTAAATGGAATGTGTTTGGCAAGTTTTTGACTCTTGGCCAATTTTTCTAACCTAAAATCAAGAGGGGTGGTCATCTATTTATAGAAAAATAGGTTCCTCAGTTGGAAATATCTATATTGAGTCAGCTGGTGCAAGGCATACACATGGGGGGGACAATTGGCAGCAAATATCTACCTGCCACTGAACATGGACGGCCGGCCGGCCATAGAAGAGGATAGCCGGCCAATAAAAATTGCCCTGCCAGCCACCTGTTGGCTAGCAAGCCTCTGAGTGGTCAGGCTAGAAAAAATTAGATTTTGGTTCAAAAGAGATATAAGGTTTGGGCTCTGAAGTTGGAAAATTGGAGCTTTTCACTGAAGAAATTGAACGATTGTACAGCATACTAATTCATCATTGAGTGTTCACTATGAGGTGCCTAATCTTAAGGGCGGTCAAAAATGAGATGTCTACACCCTATTTTTTTTGTTTTTTTCTTACATGATAATGCTCTGTTTTTTTAAGAGTGAACACAAATTGTAACAAATGATGTGATGCTCTGTTTTTTTTTTTTTTTTCTCAAAGTACAACCTTAATAGAAAATATGAAATTTTCA